ATCCCGGCTTTGACTAGCCCTTTTCACTCTGTACCTCTTTTCTTCATTTCTGCCTCTCTTTAATCAATCTTGATTTTTCTTTCATCTCGTTTTTGCCGCTCTTTTATTTTTGCACTCTCTTTTCTTTTTTGTTTTTGTCACTCTTTTATTTTTGGTCACTCTCTTTTTTTCACTCTCTTTATTTTTTCAATTTATTTTTCACTCAACTAATATTATGGCTATGATCAAATCCGATGAGGATTGCCTACGTATCATGACCCCACATGAATCAAATCTTACGTAGTTCGGGAAGATTGAGAATAGAGTAAATAAACTAACTCTTTTTTTTGGAATTTTTGAAAGAAATGCTTTAAAAGAAGAAAGGAAATATTTTTTTGATTTTTTGATTTTGATTTTTTGTTTTGCTTTTTTGAAAGAAAGACTTCTAAAAAAATTCATTTGCTTTTAATTCGAACTTTGGGAATTTTAAAAGTAAAAAGAAAATATTTTGTTTGAATTTTCATTTGTTTTTTCTTTTTCTAAAGAAGAAAGAAAAATATTTTTGGATTTCAGATGTTGCCTCTTAATTTTCGAAAGAGGGACTTTTAAGAAAATATTTTGGATTTCTCAGTTTTTATTTATTTACAAAAGCACTTCTAAAGAAAAGCGAAAATATTTTTGGACTTCAATTTTTCAAAATTTTTATGGACATTTACAAAAGAAAGACATCGAAAGAGTTTTTTTGGATTTTTGTTTGTAATGATTTTTTTTGGATGTTTTGGAAAAATACTTCAAAATGAAGGAAACCTGTATTTTGGATTTTGATTTTTATTTCCTTTTCATTATGAAAGACTTCAGAAAGAAGGAAACTATTTATTTTGAGTTAAAAAAGACTTTCTTTTTTTTTTGAATTTTTTAAGGAAAGATCTTTAAAGAAGGAACTAAAGAAAAATATTTTTGGATTTTTGAAAATTGGAGTCTCAAAGAAAGACTTTTCTAAAAAAAAGAAGTGAAGGACAATATTTTTGGATTTTTAAAAATTGGGGCCGGAACCAACGAGGTTTGCCTACGTATCTCACATCCGGTGAGAATCAAACCCGCGTAGTTCGGTCAGTTTTGACAGAACAGGGGAGGCGTGGCACTTGAAAATTTTTGGCTCATTTTGAAATGACTTTTTTTTTCCAGATTTCGGTAGAGTTTCAGAATTTTCTAAATACCTACCTCACCCCTTCTTTTTTTTTGATTTTATTTCCTTATTCTAAAAGCCGGTCAACATGTAAGCTGAAAAAACAGATGCTCAAGTAGCACGTAATATGCATCAGGATGGTCTTTTTAATTTGGGTACACCTGTCCTAGACGGACCCATCCCCTGTGTTGAGTCCCCAAAGTCAGATGCACGTGATGCAAACAAACGTACCTACTAGGGATCCGACATGAGGCTATGTTATACTAGGGTTAAGAACCTGGGTGTATTGTTCTAGACCTGGCTTACCCGAGCGGACAACTCAAGCTGAAGAAGGGGGGGCAGCGTACCGGGAATACAGAAGCTTCACCAGATTTGCAACTTGTCCGAACCTCGTTCTAAAATTGGGATAAGACTCTAATAGAAAAATAAGTCACACGAAGTGCACACTTCCTAGATGATTTAGAAGACTTAGAGAGAAGAGGGTCTCGTAACAATTTATATACAATTCAAACAATATCAAAGCGGTAAAAAGCAGCATTTAGCACATTAGGCTCAAACATGTAAAAATCAGATAATAAATAAAGCCAAGTATAACACTTATTCCAAGCTCGAATTCTTAACCCTGAACCAGAAGTTCTGGGTTCTTATCCCCAGTAGAGTCACCAGAGCTGTCACACCTCCTTTTTACACACCCGAGGGTATATAGGGGAGTTTTTCCAATTTAAGTGACATTATTCGAAATGGGATTATTTATTCAATTCAGAGTCGCCACTTAGGAATATTTTAATTGGTGTTCCAAGTCACCAGTTTATTTTAAATCCCAGATCGAGGAAATTTCGACTTTCCTTTTGAAGTTTGCGAACCAGAAATTCTGAATAAGGAATTCTGTTAACCCGAGGGAAGGTGTTAGGCACCCCCGGATTCCGTGGTTCTAGCACGGTCGCTTAAACTATCATAATTGGCCTATTATCTGATTCTAATACATGTTTTAGCCTATGGTACATTTTAACTCGTTAAACCGCTTTTAATTATTTTTTAGGAAGATCCAACGTTATTTAAAATACGCCTTGAACCATGCCACATGAAATGCACCCGCGGTCCACGACACATTTTATTTAACATTGTTGAGATTTAGATTTGGGTCACATGAAATGCACACCCGAGTTTAAGGAAATTAATTTAAATAACGCGCCTAAAACAACTACACACTTTTAAGTTTGCGAGGGCCATGGATAATTCAGCTAATGACATGCCTCGATTTCTAAAGAGTTAATATTAATTACATGAGGGTCATGGGTTAGTTAATGAGAATGGCACCAAAATTATTAGCTCAAAATCCTAAATCAATGAACTGTTGGTTTGTCTCCAATTAAATTATCCATGCAGCAATACACAAATTGTCTCACTAGATATTATCTAAAACATGACAACCAGGAGGAATTCACATATGAACATTTAAAGCATGATTCAATATTTGACCACATAAAGGTAAACCACACACAGTACTAATATTGATTACAACCAAGCAATTCAAACTATTCTCACGTGATTGTATACCAAACATGGTTATGTATCATTCATTTACATTCGAAAATATCTATTTTACTATATGCTCTATGAATTGTATTATACAAAAAAATCAGTTATCCACTTATTCTTTGGTTCACTTCAAAAATCGCAAGATACCTATGTCACTTAATATTCACAACAAACTCATGGAAAAGTTCATCACAACAAAGAATTAAAAAGCATTCAAAGCTTTCTCATCACAGATGCATTAATAGAATCCAAACAAACATATGGAAAAAGGATTTAATGGCAAACGAAAATTTTAAAACAAAAAAACCACTAAAGAATTCAAATAGCATGGGTAAGAATGAACCTTAATATTCAGTAAATAAACTTCTTCAATAGATGAAAACACGAAGCTCCCGACATCGACAAACTATATTAATTCCAAAGATTACAACCCCAATAAAGAGTCAAACAAGATCCGCGACATGAGCACTCGAACGACGACCTCGACAGAACCTCCGATTTTGGTGATTTCGGAACTGTTTGCAGCTGGTTCTGCTGCTGGTTCTATGGCTAAAGAAGTAGTGTGTTTCCGCTGCAATTTTGAAGTTGTTTTGGGGCTTAATTTGGAGGTCGTTTTGGACATGGGTTTTGGGGCGACACAGCTGGTTTTAAAGCTGCATTAATGGAGATTTTCGGACTGGTTTTAATGGTGAAAAAGTCGTTGTTATCTGGTGAATTTTGAAGGTTATTTGCTAGAGTTTTGTATAGAAACAGGGACTGTGTTTAAGGTTGGAGGGAGGTACTTCAATGGATGATTTTTGAGAAAATATTTGTAGATGCTTTAACGGAGGAAAGGGGTATAGCTCATGGTGTCCATGATGGCTTAAGGAGGATTGTCCTGTTTGGAGAGGAAGCACCAGATTTTATTGTGCGTTTTTACTGAAGAAACGACGGATCCAAATTTTTAGATGTAGGTCATTATTTAGGCATTAGGTACTATTATATAGGGGTAGATATTAGGTTAGGGGTATGAGCCTAGGAATTATGGGCTAGGTCCAAAATTAGTTCTAAAAATAGGTTGCTCGAGCCCAAGTTTTATTCTTTTCCCGCGAACGAGGTTAAAATACGACCTCATTTATTAATTAGTCCTACTTAAGTAGAATAATTGTTAAAATAAGACTGACCATTAAAATAAACTATTTTTTTGGTATTTTTCAAGATTAAAAATGAATACAAAACATTAATGGAACAATTTTTATAATTTTCATTTTTCTTGTAATAAAATAAAGTAAAAGAGTAAAACTTAGCTGAAATAGCTATATTAGGCCTAAATTAAATATTTACATGCTAAAATATAAAAAATCTTGGGGGGGGGGGG